AATGTGGTCTTATTGGAAATAGAGTTTTTGCATATGTAATTAGTTAAAGATTATTGGTTATACTGGATTAGAGTAGGCCCTAAGTCCAATGAATTGTGTCCTTATAAGAAGGTCATGTGAAGACCCAGAGAGGAGAAGACTGCAGTGGCAGAGATTAGAGTGATGTGCCTAGAAGCCAAGGAATTCCAAGGATTGCCAGCAACCACCAGACACTAGGAAAGAGGCCTAAGATGCTTCCTCCCTCAGAGACTCAAGCAGAAACCAACCCTTGCCAACACCTTGATTTCAGAATTCTGGCCTCCAGAACTGTGAGAGAATACACTTCTGTTGTTTTAAGACCCCCAGTTTGTGGTACTTTGTTACAGAAACCTTAGGACACTAATAGTCATATGCCAGTACAGAGAACTCTGGGCCATCCATGTCGACTTATGAATGCCCTGCCCTCATGTTTTTTTCCTCTGCCTCTCAATACCTCTTTTTCTGATTCTCACCTAATTTCCCCCCTGATTATATACAATCCTTTTGGCCTCTTCCCAGGTCCCATGTTTCTTATTCTTCTATCAGAAAGTTCATCACTTCTTGTTGCTTTTCTTCCTAGGACCCCAAGGGTCCTAAACCTGCCTCCCAGATGTCTCCTCCTGGATAGTTCTCAGACCACCCTCCTTCTCAGGATAGTCTCTTATTTTCTCCTCTCATAGAGAACTCCCAGCCATGTCTGTCTACTCCCTTTCTGTGCCAGGTCATATTTTTTTCTAAAGATGGCTACAACAATATCTCTTATCTAGCATGCCCTTACAGTGTGAGTTTGATACTCCTCCTATAGGTAAGTCAGTCTATGTCCCCAACACCTTAAAATTTGCTGGGCTTTGTGAATTGTTTTAATAAATGGAATATGGTGGAAGCAATGCTATGTGGTTGTTGAGGCTAGATCATAAAAAGCCATGTGGCTTCCGCTGTTTACGTGAATACTTGCTCTGGAAGCCTTTGGCTGCCATATAAGCAGTCTATTAATTCTGAGGCCACCATGCTGTGAGGAAGCCCAAAGTAGCCCATACGGAGAGACCCTCAGATGACATAAAGAGAGTGAGATGACCAGTCAGCTCCTAGTTGCTTCAGCTCCCTGCTTTTCCAGCTCCAGCCACATCACTGTAATTGCATGAAAAACCTGGACCACAACCATCTAGCTGAGCACTTCCCAAATTTCCTGACCCACACATAAACTTTGAGAGTTAGTGATTGTTTCAAGACACTGCATTTGGGGGTGATGTATTCTGATGTGGCAGTAGATACCCAGAACTCTCTCCATCACCCCAGCCACCAATTCCACTGCCTTCTACTTCCAGGTTCTGCTCCTCTCCTCAGGGATTCTTGTCAGCTCCCCAGAGCCTAAGGTGTGGTTGGGGATGTAGAAAACCCACCCCCAAGCTTACTGATATAGGGTGAGATGATGGGACAGTTGGGCAGATCCTCCTCACTGGTGTCCACAGGGTGGATCTGACTGAGGTTGGAGTAGACATCCTGGTAAGGGATTTCTGGAGAGGAGACCTGGACCAAAAAGGACAGCTCTTCTGTGCCCTCTGGCTTGTCTTGTCTTAGGAAGTGCAGGAAGGAGGTAAAGTCACTGTGGTGGTGCTTTTGGTAGAGGAATGCTCCCACAAGCAGGAGTTGTACCCCCAGAAATAATAACAGAAGCTCCATCTGCGGTTCCATTGTGAGAAAGAAAGCAGATGGTCTGCTCTTCTGTGCCCTCTGGCTTGTCTTGTCTTAGGAAGTGCAGGAAGGAGGTAAAGTCACTGCGGTGGTGCTTTTGGTAGAGGAATGCTCCCACAAGCAGGAGTTGTACCCCCAGAAATAATAACAGAAGCTCCATCTGCGGTTCCATTCTGAGAAAGAAAGCAGATGGTCATTCTTCCCATTCTGCAAGCCCCTCATTTTTGCCCACAGCCCCATGTGGCTCAGTCTCAGTCTCCCATGCCCAGCCTTTCCTGATTGGCTTTGCAGGTGCCACAGAGTGGAGACTACAGTGAGAGATCGGCCCAAGGCTGCTCAGTGCCACACCACCTGTGTAAAGAAGGTTACTGCCTTGTGCATGTGTCCAGCCTTATCTTTTCCAACATGGGTTCCTCCAAAACATCTGGTCACACTGAATACCAGTTGGGCTGCTCCCCTGGGCAAACAACTCAAAATCTCTAAGCTTCGGTGTCCTTGTCTGCAAAGTGTTGCTTATTGCTGGATTAGCTTCATTGGGTTGTCGTGTAGGACATGCAATGTGCATAGGTTAGGGTGGGACACGGACTCTGTTATTCCAGGGCTGGATTGGGTTCTTTCTCATCTCCAGCACACTGTAAGTAAGGATCTTAACCACTTCTGCTCATACTGGGTGCTCTCTCCCCGCTCCCCCCCTGCCAAGCACCAAGTAGCCCCTCGAGGCTTCCACAGCCTCTGTGTCTCCCTCTGCCACAGTCTAATTATCCTAAACCTTGACTGTCCATGTCAATACTCCCCATTCAGACTAGGAGCTTGCTGAGGGCAGGGTTTGGGATTGATTCATCTTTGGGACCCCAGGATTTCTGAGTACAGGAAGCCCTGGGAAATGAATGATAAATAAGTGAGTAAATGAATAAATGAATGAATGAATGCAGATAGATGCTATTCTTTACCCGAAAAACTCCTGCTCATCCTTCAAGAGTCATCACGAGTGCTCCTTGCCTAGAGAGTCTTCCTCAAGTTTTTCTCCATCTGCACTCTGTCTTGGCTCTCCTGGTTCTTACTATCTTTGTCACAGCTCTGGTCATCAGAACTGGAATGATCTGTGTCCAGGTCTCACTCCTTCACTAGCCTGGCAGCCCACAGGTCAAGCCTCAGGTATGATTCATCTCTGGGTCCCCAGCATAACCTGGCACAAGGGCTGAGCATTCATTCATTCATCTATATTTACTAAGTACCCAATTTGTGCTAGGTATTATTGTAGGAACCAAGGATTCAGCCACAAAGAAAATCAACAGAAATTTCTGCCTCCATGAAACCTACATTCTGGTGGGGACGATGTTCAAGAAAATATATCATTTCAGTGAGTGATAAAAATCTATACATAAAAAGGGTAATGGAGTAGAGAGGAAAGGAATAGCAGGAGGCTATTTCTGCTAGGTTGGTTGGAAAGGTAACATTTAAACTGAGACCTGGAGCATGAGAATGACGTAACCATGGGAAGTATTTCTGGCAGAGGGACCAGCATGTGTAAACACCCTGAGATGAGAGGCAGGAGAACGTCGGAAAGAGTGGTAGGAAAAGAAGTCAAGAGTGGCACCCAGGGCTAGATCATGAAGAGTGTTCTGGGTCAGGGTGGTGGGGAAGTGATGTGATCTGACTCATATATTTAACAAGTTGCTCTAGAGTAGTAACTCCTCAGCCAGAGGAGATCCCCACCCCCCACCCCCAGGGAGCATCTGACAGTGTCTAGAGAAGGTTTTAATTCTCATGATCTGGGGCAGGGGTGCTGCTGGCATCTGGTAGGTAGAAGCCAGGGATGTTGCTGAACATACTACAGTGCACAAGACAGCTGCCACCCCCACCCCGCCGAAGAATGTCAATAGTGCTAAGGATGAGAGATTCTGATTTAGAGGCAATGCGATGTGTTCTTCACCAGTGGAGAGGAAGAACGTCTCTGTTTCTGTCTCCCACTCAGTCTCCCTCTCTTCTCCCCCTTCCATTTACCCCTCCTCTGTTGTCTTCTCCTTATTTTTTCTTCTCCTCTTCTTCCTCTTTCCTTCCTCTTCTCCTGCTCCTCCTCTTTCTCTTTCCCTTTCTCCTCCCTCCTTTCTCTCTCCCTCCCTCCCTCTCCACTCTTTCCCACTCAGTCTCCCTCTCTTCTCCCCCTTCCATTTACCCCTCCTCTGTTGTCTTCTCCTTTTTTTTCCTTCTCCTCTTCTTCCTCTTTCCTTCCTCTTCTCCTGCTCCTCCTCTTTCTCTTTCCCTTTCTCCTCCCTCCTTTCTCTCTCCCTCCCTCTCCACTCCTCTCTCTTCCCAAAGAAACTTCTTGGCTCCCTAAGAAGTATCAGAGAGAGTTCAGAATTACTGCTGTTCCAAAGATTGACTGAGGACAGACTGATCCCAAGGCTTCCCTCTGACTGTAGAGTGAAGAACAAATCCTAGGATATTCTCATGTGTTTCAAGAACTCCCAGCTGATGCATGATGAAACCTGTTTGAATTCAGGGTTGGAGAAAAGGGTGCTTATGAGTATTTATGATGGAAACTGACAATCTTAGGGGAATCCCAAGGTTTGTACCAGTAGACACGTTTGAGCTGGAAGCAAATGGGTCCCATGAAAAGATCAGAACTTTTGTTGCACCATGCTGGTCCCAATTATTCTGGAGCCAAAGCTGAAGGATATGAATAGATGAATGGGCTTGTTGAAAGGCACTGAAAAATTATATACAGGTCAGTGTCCTTGTCACTAAATCAGAATATATTTTTAGATGAACTAGAAAATTATCTCACTACAGAGGCAGGCTCAGGGATCAAATCTGAAATGTGGGGCAGGGATTGAAAATCCTTAAATTTTGGAGTATGGAAAAACCAAGAATCCAATTTCAGTAGCAAATTCCTTGTGGGTCAAGCATTAAGAAGAACTATATACTAGTACTATTTCTCCCAGCTTTTCAGCTAGAAAGGCAGCTTACAAAAAGTACTGTTTCATAGGATAACATCTAGGCTTTTGAGTGACATTCTTAGATTGAGACACCACTCCTTTAAGCAAAATGAGAAAAAACTAGACCACATTGATAAGGTGGAAATGAACATCATTCACACAGAACAGACCATCAAGTGTCAAGAATATCTCAGGAACTCTAGCTAGATTTGATGCTGTCCTTTGGGGACCCAGACCAATCTTTGAAATATTCTGGAAAAGTTGACCCAGCAGCAATTTATGGACATGTTTGCTGGGCTTAAAATAGTGGGGCTCATAATAATCCCTATTTCCAATCTGTGAATGCTGCAGGTGTGGAACATGCCTGAGCCATCATGGCATGTTGGCTGGTGTTCAGCCACTCTAAGCAGGAGGTGTCAACAAAGCCTCGATGATGACTCCATTTCCTCTTTCCAGAAGCACCAGTGAGCTTGGAGGAGCAACTTGTCTTGGATGGTATGTGTGGCCTCGGAGCATACTTCCCACAGGAGTCAGATGTACCTAGGGGTTTCTGTGAACCAGTGCAAGTATGTTGTTTACACGTCATCCACTGTGAGGACGTTCAGACTCACATTTCCAGACTTCCTCCTCCTGGTTCTGGGACAGGAAAGACTGCTGCTATTCAAGGTGTGGTTTGTCTCCCAGAGAGCCCAGTAAAGATGATCCTTCTGACTCCACAGAAAACATGAGAGACGCATTTTAGAGTCTGAGAGTTTAATTGACTTTAATAAATGATTGTTTTCTTATTCCTAGTTTTGTCATTCTTATCACAATTATAGGGATTGACTTAAGATACAGTGCTACTGTATTTGTGGCTGTTGATGAAAATTTAATTTTGAACAACGATTTAAAAAAGAATTTGGTGAGTATAATCATGCAATGTGGAAAGATGAACCAAATATGATGAAATTAATTGCATTTTTTAAACTTTGTTTCCCAAAGTTACATAAGATTTCAAGAAAAAAAAGTATCTTAAACTAGCAACAATTCTCACACGTTACATGGTTCAAATAGTAGAGTGTATGTTTACATTTTCCAAGTGACATGAG